TGGTGGGAGGATGACTCTCTATGGGAGGCTGGTTAAATTCCTTCTGGCTATGCCTGTCGTAGTACTTCTTGGTCACCAGGCAAAAAACTTACTGTTCCCAGATGTGCTTGAGTGTCGTCATGATTGCTCCCTATTAGGAACTGGTAACAAATCACAGTCGTCGTCATTATTTATATGTTTGTATAATAAATAGTTTTGGAGTTCTGAAGTTTACATACTTAAACTCACATCTGCCAGGAAAGTACATGTGCCCTTTGCGTTAGAAGATTTCTTTACAGTCAGATAAGTGCTGAGCCTCCCTTCTACAGGCATCCTTCCATGAGAACAGCTGTGCTGGACAGGATCATACCCCTGTAAGGCAGAAGCAAGTGTCCTTGACAGATGATCTCCTGCTGCTGGAGACCTGAGCTTATACCCTCCCTCCACATCTTCTTTCCTCTTGGGAACGAAGGCACGGGGGAGCACGAGGAGGTTGGAGGTGAGGGAAGGTGTCACAGCAGATCAGTGTCTGGGTCAGGATGTCTAAAGGACTGGGCTCACCTGCAGTGCCGAGTCCCATTTTCAAGGAATTAGCTCCATGTGCTGGTCTGACTGAATGTATGTGGCAGCAAGGCATGTTTGCTGGTTTATTTCTCTGTTTCCCTCTCCAAATATAGTAACTCGGTTTTTAAGTTTTACATTTTCGTAGAGTGAGGTCATGTTCCTATAAATGTGTTTAATGTTAAGAGTGAATGCTGGGACGTTTGCAAACCACCTACTGTTCTCCTCCCTGTGGAGAGGAGGCCCCAGAAAAAGGTGTAGACGTTCACTCACAGGGTGCTGCTTCCCCCTGTGCAGGACCAGGACTTCTTCTCCCCCTCCACCAGCATCTCGGGGGCTCTTTGTCCACCCTCCTGTGAGCCCAGGGATGGCAGTCAGTAGCACAAGACCTCAGTAAGGGAGCCAGTGTGTCCCCAGCATGTCCCACAGCATCTCTACTGGTCCCACCAGGTAGAGATGATGAGGCTTCAGGGTCTCCATGTGTCAGGCACGTGGGAACTCACTGCTTGGAATCTATTGAAAGTTTCCCTCTCAATCACTGAGGAGTAAATCCCCCCCTGTGCTCCCCTTCTTTTTGGGGGGGGTGTGTTATTTTGGGTGCACGTTTATGGAAAATGTAATACCTGCTTCCCAAATAATGGGCTCTGTGGTACGGAAATGTGCAAGTTTTCAGTCTTTTCTCAGATTGCAAAGTCAGCCCAGAGTGTGCTTTCCAGATTTATGTCTTTTTATTTTTTTTTTTCCTATGCAGAGCTGAGCAGTTGAAGCTCTTCTGCTAATACAAATTTCTGTTGTATGGGACAGAAGAGACATGAAAAGGAGACACTGAAGAAATGTTGACTTATTTTGGTGTTGGACTAGGGATCAGTTATTACAGTTAAAAAGTGAGAATCACTAGAAAATTTAGCATGACAAAATATCAGAGGTTAGTGGGATTTGAATAAAATTATCCTGAATTCTGGTAATTATTAAAAGTTCTATTTTACTATGCTATAAATAGGATGAATTATTAATCAGCTAAGAGCTTCAGCTCCTTTGTAAATGCACTTTGCTCGCCAAACTTAGGACACGTAAGGCTTCTTTCGTAAACATTTTTTTTACGGAGGAAACGTGTGGCGGTGGCCCACAATAATAGGAAAATAACTTGGGATTAACTGTTTGCTAATGGAGCACTTTGAATTTTTGCCAAATAAATTATCTTGTAGAACAAGGTTTTCAAGCTTTTCCAGCAAGGAGGGAGGCAGAACGAAGCCCAGGGGCAGGAAATCCTCATGTACCTTTTGTGTCAGAAGAGCCAGGGCTGGGATAACCCGAGGTATCTTAGAAAATGTCCCCAAGGTACGTCTGCGGCGTTCGTTCCGCTACGTGGAGGCTGAACGCGGCTAACGGAGCGGTTACGGTTTTCCTCCGGGATGAATTACCCTTGTTTGCTATGCAAATCTTATGACTGTAATTAGGCTGGGATTTGGACCGCTGTGTACACTGATCTTTGTTCCCGGTGAGCAAGGGGAGCTAATTCTCATGGTGCAAAACAGCCCAGCCAACCCCGGGCGCTGCGGACACCCCGGGCAGTCGCTTCTCCTGGGGGTGTCTTTGCTCCAAATGGATGTTTTAAGAGGAATGGTTTACCTCTGCCTCCACGGGGCACGTGAATCACACCACAGGCATCTCTGAAGCGTTCAGAGGACTGCAAAATCTCTCTTGAAAGCAGAGGTTGGAGAAGGCAGGAAGGGCTGCCTGATAGGCATCTGCGTTTTCGGCAAACTGGTTTTTAAAACAGCGGTGTTGTGTCGGTGATTGGTTCGGGAGCTGGTGGTATGTTCCAGCTATCACGACAGTGATTGCAGTTCCTAGTATGGCTATGTATAGCCCCCCTTATCTCTGCAGCCGGACTTTGTGTAACCGCAGCCCCGTGGCTCCTTGCCCACGCTAATGAGCTCTCCCCGAGGCCGGGCTTGTGCCTGTGGGGGTGGCACGGCGCTCCGAGGGTGCTGCTGCTCTTCCCAAATCCCGAGTTCATTAACTGTGCTCGAGTCCACTTCCCTCGAGTGGCTGGCTTGGCTACTGCTGGCCACAGGAGCTTGTCCCCGTGCAGCGTGGCCAGCCTCAGAACCATCTGGAGGACTACAGCCAGCGAGGCTGCCAGGCTGTAGCCCGCAGCAAAGGAGAGCTGTCACCTAGACCTGGATTTGGGGGAAGCACCAGCGTGGTGAGGACGGTGCAGGTGAGCCACGCTGACAGCCCATTCTCCTCCCTGGGAGCACGGCCACCAGCGTTCCCATCAGCCCAGGAGGTGGGAGTAGATCCAGCAGGCAGAGGGTGACTTTTTTGTGGTCACCCAAAGAGCAGGGGAAAGCCATGGCTGCTGACCGTGCCTGGGCACGGGCAGAAGTGGGAGCAGATACTTTGGGGCACAGGGGTAGCCAACTGGGGGCATAGAGGAGATGTACCCCTACTCTCAGGGCATGAGCACCTCGTCCCTGTGACAAGGTGGTGGCTGCACCTTGGTGGGAGTCTGTACCTGCACCCATGGTGGGCTCTTCTATCCCCCTGCCTCCCCACTGCTGCACTGGGGTTCAGCAGAATAAAACCCTCACCAGCTACGAGATCTATGGGCTTGTGTAGTTTTAGCTACAGACAGATAAAAAAGGCATTATTTAGGAACTTTTTCAGAGTCGTTGCAAAGACATAGGGAAAGAAGGGAGAAATACCCTCCAGGGGACAATATAGCACTACTGCTCTCAAGATGTAGTAAATTACACAATCTGTTTTTTAACGGCTTGTAACTCCTGTGAATCTTGTTTATTTCTTTTCGTTGCCTACTCATGTAAATCACAGCAAAGCAGAGGAACGGAGGCAGTTTTACTTTTTCTTTTCTAATGTGCTGATTCCTGTAAGCATGACATCTAACCCATTAATTTTGTTTGTGTAAATACAATTTAAGGGAAGAGGGAAACTAAACGCATCAAGTGAGGTACTAAACTGCCTAACAAAAAGCAGAAAAAAATCTTCACAGAAAGTGATTTTTCTAACCAAGTGTATTTAATTCCTAGTGCTAATATGACAAAGTATGTGTTTTTTCCGTAGCTGGATGTTCCATATTTCAGAACAGGTTAGAGCGCGTTCTGAGGCTGTTGTTGAAAAAATTACATTTTACTTAAGCAGCCAAGTTAAAAGGGGGCATAAAATCTGCATGAGCTTTGCAAACCGGTGCCGTGCTGCAGCTATGATAGTGCGTGCATTCCTTTGCCAACAACATCTGTAATTTAGCATTGAAATACAAAGGATTTGGTCTGTAATTACCTTTGGGGAATAATGTGAGCGTGGCAGTTTTGTGCAGTTACTTTGGGGAGGAAGAAATGATGAGGATGGCCCTTCCCCAGGGAAGCCCCTGAAGTTGTTATATTTACAGTGGTCCAGTCCTGTGCTTCTGATGCACCTGGCAATTTTTAGCATGTAATAAATTCAGAGTTAGGGTACTAATATGCTGGTGTGTGGTCAGAAATACTATGTAGTGAATGTAATTCGGGGATGCCTGTTAAATAACTAAGTCGTCTAGTTATATACATACCCCATGTAACAAAGGATAGAAAATCCTAGACCAAGCCTTGGACAGCGCTGGATATTTCAAGGTGCTGCACAGCCATTCCAGGTCAAAATCCAAAACCATACTAGCAAAACCTTAGAAAATGTCCCCAAGGTACGTCTGCGGCGTTCGTTCCGCTACGTGGAGGCTGAACGCGGCTAACGGAGCGGTTACGGTTTTCCTCCGGGATGAATTACCCTTGTTTGCTATGCAAATCTTATGACTGTAATTAGGCTGGGATTTGGACCGCTGTGTACACTGATCTTTGTTCCCGGTGCGCAAGGGGAGCTAATTCTTATGGTGCAAAACAGCCCAGCCAACCCCGGGCGCTGCGGACACCCCGGGCAGTCGCTTCTCCTGGGGGTGTCTTTGCTCCAAATGGATGTTTTAAGAGGAATGGTTTACCTCTGCCTTCACGGGGCACGTGAATCACACCACAGGCATCTCTGAAGCGTTCAGAGGACTGCAAAATCTCTCTTGAAAGCAGAGGTTGGAGAAGGCAGGAAGGGCTGCCTGATAGGCATCTGCGTTTTCGGCAAACTGGTTTTTAAAACAGCGGTGTTGTGTCGGTGATTGGTTCGGGAGCTGGTGGTATGTTCCAGCTATCACGACAGTGATTGCAGTTCCTAGTATGGCTATGTATAGCCCCCCTTATCTCTGCAGCCGGACTTTGTGTAACCGCAGCCCCGTGGCTCCTTGCCCACGCTAATGAGCTCTCCCCGAGGCTGGGCTTGTGCCTGTGGGGGTGGCACGGCGCTCTGAGGGTGCTGCTGCTCTTCCCAAATCCCGAGTTCATTAACTGTGCTCGAGTCCACTTCCCTCGAGTGGCTGGCTTGGCTACTGCTGGCCACAGGAGCTTGTCCCCGTGCGGCGTGGCCAGCCTCAGAACCATCTGGAGGACTACAGCCAGCGAGGCTGCCAGGCTGTAGCCCGCAGCAAAGGAGAGCTGTCACCTAGACCTGGATTTGGGGGAAGCACCAGCGTGGTGAGGACGGTGCAGGTGAGCCACGCTGACAGCCCATTCTCCTCCCTGGGAGCACGGCCACCAGCGTTCCCATCAGCCCAGGAGGTGGGAGTAGATCCAGCAGGCAGAGGGTGACTTTTTTGTGGTCACCCAAAGAGCAGGGGAAAGCCATGGCTGCCGACCGTGCCTGGGCACGGGCAGAAGTGGGAGCAGATACTTTGGGGCACAGGGGTAGCCAACTGGGGGCATAGAGGAGATGTACCCCTACTCTCAGGGCATGAGCACCTCGTCCCTGTGACAAGGTGGTGGCTGCACCTTGGTGGGCGTCTGTACCTACACCCATGGTGGGCTCTTCTATCCCCCTGCCTCCCCACTGCTGCACTGGGGTTCAGCAGAATAAAACCCTCACCAGCTACGAGATCTATGGGCTTGTGTAGTTGTAGCTACAGACAGATAAAAAAGGCATTATTTAGGAACTTTTTCAGAGTCGTTGCAAAGACATAGGGAAAGAAGGGAGAAATACCCTCCAGGGGACAATATAGCACTACTGCTCTCAAGATGTAGTAAATTACACAATCTGTTTTTTAACGGCTTGTAACTCCTGTGAATCTTGTTTATTTCTTTTCGTTGCCTACTCATGTAAATCACAGCAAAGCAGAGGAACGGAGGCGGTTTTACTTTTTCTTTTCTAATGTGCTGATTCCTGTAAGCATGACATCTAACCCATTAATTTTGTTTGTGTAAATACAATTTAAGGGAAGAGGGAAACTAAACGCATCAAGTGAGGTACTAAACTGCCTAACAAAAAGCAGAAAAAAATCTTCTTCACAGAAAGTGATTTTTCTAACCAAGTGTATTTAATTCCTAGTGCTAATATGACAAAGTATGTGTTTTTTCCGTAGCTGGATGTTCCATATTTCAGAACAGGTTAGAGCGCGTTCTGAGGCTGTTGTTGAAAAAATTACATTTTACTTAAGCAGCCAAGTTAAAAGGGGGCATAAAATCTGCATGAGCTTTGCAAACCGGTGCCGTGCTGCAGCTATGATAATGCGTGCATTCCTTTGCCAACAACATCTGTAATTTAGCGTTGAAATACAAAGGATTTGGTCTGTAATTACCTTTGGGGAATAATGTGAGCGTGGCAGTTTTGTGCAGTTACTTTGGGGAGGAAGAAATGATGAGGATGGCCCTTCCCCAGGGAAGCCCCTGAAGTTGTTATATTTACAGTGGTCCAGTCCTGTGCTTCTGATGCACCTGGCAATTTTTAGTGTGTAATAAATTCAGAGTCAGGGTACTAATATGCTGGTGTGGGGTCAGAAATACTATGTAGTGAATGTAATTCGGGGATGCCTGTTAAATAACTAAGTCATCTAGTTATATACATACCCCATGTAACAAAGGATAGAAAATCCTAGACCAAGCCTTGGACAGCGCTGGATATTTCAAGGTGCTGCACAGCCATTCCAGGTCAAAATCCAAAACCATACTAGCAAAATGCTTAAAAAAAACCCTTCCAGCTCTGTAGGTAATTTCAGTGTTAGCTGAGGGCTCCATAGAAAATCCTAGACCAAGCCTTGGACAGCTCTGGATATTTCAAGGTGCTGCACAGCGATTCCAGGTCCAAATCCCAAACCATACCAGCAAAATGCTTAAAAAAAACTTTCCAGCTCTGTAGGTAATTTCATTCAGTGTTAGCTGAGGGCTCCATGTGCCTGGCAGAAAAGGACCTGGGGGTGTTGGTTGACTGTCGGCTGAACATGGCTCATGTGGCCAAGAAGGCCAACAGTATCCTGGCCTGTGTCAGGAACAGCGTGGTGAGTAGGACCCGGGAGGTGATCATCCCCCTTTACTGGGCACTGGTGAGGCCTCACCTCGAGGACTGTGTCCAGTTTTTGGCCCCTTCCCACAAAAAAGACATTGAGGTGCTGGAGTGGGTCCAGAGAAGGGCAATGAAGCTGGTGAGGGGTCTTGAGAACAAGTCTTATGAGGAGAGGCTGAGGGAGCTGGGGGTGTTCAGTCTGGAGAAAAGGAGGCTGAGGGGAGATCTTCTCGCTCTCTACAACTCCCTGAAAGGAGGGTGTAGAGAGGTTGGCATTGGTCTCTTCTCCCAAGTCACAGGTGACAGGACAAGAGGAAATGGCCTCAAGTTGCGCCAGGGGAGGTTCAGGTTGGATAGTAGGAAAAATTTTTACTCTGAAAGGGTTATTCAGTATTGGGATGGGCTGCCCAGGGAAGTGGTTGAGGCACCATCCCTGGAGGTATTTAAGAGGTGGGTTGACATAGTGCTCAGTGACATGGTTTAGTGATGGTTTTTTATCAGAGTTAGGTTGATGGTTGGGCTAGATGAACTTAAAGATCAGGTTGATGGTTGGGCTAGATGAACTTAAAGGTCCCTTTCCAACCCAGGCAATTCCATGATTCTGTGATTCCAGCGCCCACACCGCCTCAGTCATTTCAGTCAGACCTTACGTCTTGGATCTGGAGGACCAAGGCAGGTTGCGAATGGGGCACTAGTGCCAAATTTGGAGGCTGATGTAAGGAAGGCCTTTCTTCTTCTTCCCTCCTTTCCCTTTCCAGCCTTCCCACCCTGGGGCCTCTGCAGTGGGCACTGCCCCGGGGTGGCTGCAAGGTTTGCTCAGGAGCTTGGTGGTGATGAATCACAGAGGCATGGCACAGATTGATAAGGTCGTGTACTTTACGATTAGATACATCCTTCCTCTAACTGTGGTTCTTTGTCTCCGTTTTGCTTTCGGTAATGTTTTTTTCGCAGTTTGCATACGACTGCTCTCCAAGCAGGAGCTGTTTGACTTGAGACAAAGTCGCTATTATTCTAGGTAAGCTCAGGAAGCCCTCATAATTTTGTTGCCCTCAGAAGACATAGATTTTCAGCAATTCCTTTAAAAGCCAATTAAGTTAAATCACCAAGAAAATATGTTTTTTCTTGCAGCCTAGCTGTAGAGGACTTTTACGTACATAAACCAGTATGTAACAAGAAAAATCTGCCTTGCAGCTGCAATATTTATTTTCTGTGCATTTTAAGTGATGGCTGTAGAGTGGCATGTTCTTTATCTGCAGTGCTAGCAAAAAAAAATAAATAATGTATGTCAGCTTTTCCTGGTGCAGGTGTGCAGTCTTGCAGCCTGGCAGAAGAAAACTATTACATAGTCCTCAAAGTATTGAAAAATACTGACTACTGCAGTGCCTGCAGCCTGACCAACACACAAGTCTACCACCTCATTTAGAGTTAGTGGAGAGCCCAAAGAGCTCAGTAGGAACACTGCAGGCTTATTTGGGGAGATTTTGGTTGTAGACTCTCCAGTTGTGTAATTTAGTCAAGCACGTACTTGTGTTTACAAACTGAAACCTTTTTGAGCTACCCTGAATATGGCATTTGCAGTGCTACGGTCCTTTCTCAAAGAGCATCTCTGATGTCTCTCCAGGTGGGGTGTCTCCTGAGCTCTTCTGCTTCTCTAGACCTCTTTGGCTATGAGCCCCTGTCTGTGATGAAGCTTCACCTGTCCTGCCTCAGTCTCTGCTGCAGCATTTTGTGGCTCTGTTGGACTCTCTTGGCTGTTCTGGCTCCCCTCCTCTGCTCCTGATTGTTGCTTTCTGAATAGACTTGCTCAGCAGAGTTTTCCCAAGTAACACAAAACAAGGTAGTCATGGATGACCAATATCAGCTTTTCCTTTTAACTCAGTCGTGAAGTGTTGTTGACTCACTGGTTTGGTTTCTACTGTCTATAAAAAGGTTTTGTGTGAGTACACCCATTTTTCCCACCGCCCCATGTGACACCAGTGCCAGGATGACCTTCTGCTGGAGAGTCTCATTGCTCCGTTATGTCACTGCTCCATATGAGTTTCCCTGGCAACCAGTTTGAGCTACGCCGAACCAAAAATACCTCACTGTGCTGGGGCAAAGTCAGTTTGCAGACCTGGATTTCTCATTAATGACTTCTTTGGATGCACCATGTGTTCAGCCTGCAGATGTTGTTATTGTGAACCGATGACTGGGAGATGCAGTGTGCCCTTTTTCCTTACTTCCCCAGGCAGGACAGTCTATGAGAAAGCTGCCCTTGCACGATTGTCAACTGAGTTGGGACTGTAAGACCCATCATACTCATTTTTCACGGTACACCAAGGGTCTTGTCTTCTATTGAGAGTGGTTTATGCAGACTCACAGTGATCCTTCCTAGACTCCTTGGATCTCTGCAAATTACCTTGGTTATTACTCACAACTGTGCCCTTCTCACTTCTATATAAATACATACCTCTTGATTTATAGGTGTCCGCGCTGTGAGCTCCAGTTTTGCTGCCATGCTAGTCTTCAAAGGCACAGTTTGTGACACCTCCAAGTGAACATGTGTATAAATCTTTGGAGGTGAGGACCCACCAATTCACACAGGAGAGAATGCACAAATTGGAAGTCTTACTTCAGCCCTTCCTAGTTGTGTTTCGAGTTGCAGATAATCTTTTCATTTCCTAACGTAGAGCACTGGTGTGAAGAAAAGCGTTGGTAATTCAAGATGTGTTCTCAAGGTGACAAAATTAGAAGAGACTAAATTGGAGAGTGGTATGTCATTTTTAGTAACAGGTTCCCTTTTCTGGATTTGTAGGGTGTGAGGATTGCGGAAAAAGCCTTATAGGAGAATGCAAACTCCACGGACCACTCATCAGGGCTAAAGATAGGGTTATTCCTAGCCGAGCCCGACTCACCCTACCTCACTACCTCACGTTGCGAGTGTTGGAGCTGCGAGCTGGAAACCAGCAGAGTAAGTATTTTAGCTCTTTTTCCTACATTTGAGAAAGAGGAGACAAAAGTATTAACAGTGGCTTGTTCTCATGGATGACTCAAGGCATAATCGTTGGGTATTAACAGTATGAAGACTACTTTATTTTCAGCTGAGCACAGCTAAAGCTCACATTCAGCTACTGTTCTTTATGGCTGATTTCTAGCAACCTCAATGCATAGACTGATGGCAGGACATTAGCCAGAGCTAGTGTGACATTTAGCTGTGAGCAATCAGTTAGCTCTCTTCTATCAGTACAAGCTGAATGAATGTTGAATTTGTATCTAATAGTAACAGCCATGCACTAGTACATGTTTTTTTCTTTTCCGCAAGCATGCAAAACAGGAAAAAATATTCAATATGAGGTCAGAAACAAAATGGTAAATAACATCCTTCATCCACCCCCTGCAAACTCAAAAGAACGGCAAGTTAATGTACCTTTTGCAGAAAGACTGTTGTTTTCTTCTGAGGGCAGGGCAGTTTGAATGCCCAGGCTTGAACAAGGGAACTACATCCTTAGTGTGAGAATTTTCCACAGCTACCTGTGTAAAATTAGTTCTGCCTTGATTGCATTTCAGAAAGAGAATGGCAAGATCCCTATTGTGTTGCACCATTGGTATTAGGCAGGGAAATAACTGGAATGATTAAGATGGCTAATGTGTTTTTATAGATCCTCTCCACTCATATTGGGAGAGAACAACTTCATAAATTATGCCAACAAGCAGAGCTCTATGATAATATCATCTTGTATATTGCAGAGTATCAACACATTTGTGTTGCATACTCAGTTTAATATCCTGTCATGGATTTTAGGTAATACCCATTTAAAAAAAAAATTCTGTACATATTTACATTCTCTTTAGATTCTTTCTGTTAGAATTATTTAACTGGGTTATTTGTCTAGAGGAAGAATTCATGTGTTTTGCACTATGTATTTATCTCCATTTTCACAACTGTTTTTAAATAGACAAGAAATAGTTTGTGGTGTCTATATTAATATTAGACTGGTCTTTTTTTATTCACAGTCCTTGGAGTATTTGCAAAGAAAGTAATACAGAAGAGAACACAGTTTGGTCCTTATGTTGGGCAACTGTCTACAAAACTGACCCGCTATGATGAGAGCAGGCTAGTCCTGCAGGTAAAAACCCAGTGCCTTACTATGAAGTGCATCTGTGCCTTTAACAGTTCATATGTATTTATGTATTTTAACCAGTTAAATTGCTGTCTGATATAGTTAATTAATTGTACATCTGATCTCTATGTATGAATGTAAATCACATTATTAGCATGACCTGAAGTACTGTAATGTTATTGTATGTTGTGTTTTCTAGAAGTTTACTTACCTGCTTTCCAGTTTTACCACTTCCTGGGTGATTTACCCATCAGACTATTTATTACCCATAAACTATTCACAGAGCATGGCTACTGGAAGCATCCAAGGATAGTACTGTCTTCCCAGATAAAACAAAAGGATTTGTGCTTTACACCGTGCCACTGGGAGGGTTAATTCTGTGCACTGAGTTAGCAATAGTGGCAGAAATACGCACTAAGGCACCTGCTTAGTGGGGAGGAACAGTGCAGGGATGGGGAAACGCTTCTTATTGATGTGATTATATAAAATCTTTGACACTCAGTGCAATAACTGAGTTTAGTCGGGTTGTTATTTAGGGGTGGTACCAACCCTTGGTGCAGATACTGATCGTCTCTTCTGGACCCAGTGCCTCTCAGGACTAGCCTAGCTTAGCTTATTTAGGGGTGGTACCAACCCTTGGTGCATGTGGAGATACTGATCGTCTCTTCTGGACCCAGCGCCTCTCAGGACGAGCCTAGCTTGGGCATAAGCACATCCTTTCTTGGGATGTGATAGTTAATCATAGTCCTCTATGCCCTGGTCTTTGCTTTTTGCTGCAGGGGGTCACTCCTGGGCACACACACCTTTCTGTCATACAGCAAGCCCGTGGTCAAGCCACAGCCTCCACCAGGTCTTCCCAACAGGTCACGGTTCTTCCAGAGCCTGCATTTCATGTCAGGCCCTCTCACCCCCCAGCAGCTGTCCTGTGAAGCTCGGGACTGGAAAACAGTGTGCTGTGGAGGAAGGCATAGATACAGATACTTCTGTAATTTTGTTTGAGAGCAAAAGTAATAGCTTTGGTAATTGCTGTGAAGTTTATTTGCTCATGGAAGTCATGTGAAGGGTCTGCCAGGAAAGCGACACTGTCCTTCTGTGGGATTTTCGTGGCATGTTGGCACCAGAGAGGGTTTGTTCTTCTCCATAACTAAATTTCTTCCATCTTTTTATGAGATGCTTTAATTCTTACAAATGCAGAAATCGTGCTTCTCTAACGAGCTCGCGAGCGTGGATGAGCTAAGCAAGCACCCAGTTCCTTCCTCTTCACCAAAGCTATTGTAAACCACACCCTGTCCTCTATCAGTCAACCCCGTTTGCTTAAACGTATGTGGTGATAAGCACAGCTCTCGCTGATGAATGGGCTGTTTCTTCAGGAGACCAGAGTCCCAGGTTTCACATAGGACAGAAGTAACTGCCTTGACTTCTCCCTAGCAACATTCTTGAGTATGCGACCAAACTCGTCCAGCAAGAGGGTGTTTTCATTGGAAACGTGATAAAGTAGTTCCCAGAAGCAATGGAAATGCAGCTTTTTTTGCAATTAATTGCTTGCTCACGTGGTTAGTAGAACAGGTACACGCTGCGCTGACATCTGTTGTGCAGCTTCACTTGTCCACTTTTGAGACTATATTGCAGAAAAGCAACTGTCTCATACAAGGTGAGGAGCGTTTGCCTCTTAGAGGCATTCTCTTGGAAAAGAATCCGGGAAGAATGAAGTAAAGCAAAAAAGAAAGAGATCTTTCTGGCATAATTGTTCATTTGTGTTTGCTTTTGCATTGTTAAGGGGAAAAAGAGAAGACTGTTAAAATACCATTATATTGTAGGTTACTTCTCTGGACTTATTACACAAGTTATGCAATTGCTCCATGCAAAATGGAGTGTTAATACAGCACTAAAGTTTGAGATTATCAAGTACTCAGGAAGTACATTAAGGCATAAGGCTTATCTTTCTGCCTGCCTCCACTTAGTCCTTATAATATTATCTATATATAACATAAAAATGATGAACTATAAACTGGAAATGCATACAAAGGCCTACAGTTATTTTAGTAGCTGGGTGCCTTGGCAGGTGTTCGTTCTTCTCTTGCTTTTGCACTCAGTATTTTTTAAGAGTGATCTATTTCAAAACAACCACAATTTCAAAGGACATATGACCGAGACAGGGTAAATAACCGATAGCTGTGATTCCAAGTTAAAGAAAACTAATGCGACTCTATACAGGACTTGGTTTTATCATGTTCTTTCTCCTGTCCTCCCCTCTTTGTTTCAGGTATTGAAAGATGGAGGGAAATACTTTCTGGACACTCCCAATGAAGACTGTGGAAATTGGATGATGTTTGTCCGGCTAGCCCGGAACCAAGAAGAACAGACTCTTGTGGCTTATCAGCACTGTGGAGAAGTCTACTTCACCACTGTTAAGGTACTTAAACCCACATTGCTTCACCCCGCCATCCAAATGGAAATTTATAGGCAAAGGCTCTGAAAGTCTCACCCGTTTACAGCTGAAAGGCGAAGTTCTGCCAGCTGGATCTTTATTGCACGCCACCTTTTATATCACTTAATCCGTAGTAAAGCAAGCAGTGTGGGGGGTTTGCCAATAAAAGGCAGCGTGTACTCGCTGTTGGGGGTAGTGAAGAAACTGAGCAGAGGGAAACAGAAATATCATTCATGATGGGAGGGTTTAAACGTGAATGTTGTACAGTTCTCAGTTCCAGATAGGTACACAGTGAGATTATCTACCACCGTTGCAATCAACAGTACTTCATCCCAGAAAGAACAAACAGATTCCTTTCCTTTATTACATTTTTGGACACCCATTCTATTCTGCAGCACATTACCAGGTGCTCAGGAACAGGGTGCTAAGTAGAACCTTTATGTATTATTTTCCACTCTCATTAAATCTGAAAACTTAACTGCAGAATTTCCAATACTGCAATTTTGCCATGAAATGATCAGTTTATGTTAGAGGTTCTGGGCTGCGTCTTCATCTGAGGAGAGAGAACAAAGTACTCTGTATTTATAAATGATGCTGGACCATACAGTCTTGGTTTTTTGATGTTTTGGCCACTTTCTCAGACAGAGCTTGTTTTAATCAGAACTTACTCTTTTGTACACTTAGGAAACTGAAGTCTATATGTTGAACATTCATTGTTTTTCTTTTTTATTCTTAGTGTTTGTATGCCAATATAAGCAACATAAAAAATATTAGAAGATATTAGTCAAAAGGAGTTATGTGGGATTAAAATCTGGCATTTCAGTTTCATTTCCAAGATTGGCACGGATTTCTGTGGGATAGTAATATTTACTTTTGTTCCTCCATTTTCGTTTCTCCACCTGCATTCCTTTCCTTTATTACATTTTTGGACACCCATTCTATTCTGCAGCACATTACCAGGTGCTCAGGAACAGGGTGCTAAGTAGAACCTTTATGTATTATTTTCCACTCATTAAATCTGAAGACTTAACTGCAAAATTTCCAATACTGCAATGTTGCCATGAAATGATCAGTTTATGTTAGAGGTTCTGGGCTGTGTCTTCATCTGAGGAGAGAGAACAAAGTACTCTGTATTTATAAATGATGCTGGACCATACAGTCTAGGTTTTTTGATGTTTTGGCCACTTTCTCAGGCAGAGCTTGTTTTAATCAGAACTTACTCTTTTGTACACTTAGGAAACTGAAGTCTATATGTTGAACGTTCATTGTTTTTCTTTTTTATTCTTAGTGTTTGTATGTCAATATAAGCAACATTAAAAATATTAGAAGATATTAGTCAAAAGAAGTTATGTGGGATTAAAATCCGGCATTTCAGTTTCATTTCCAAGATTAGCAAGGATTTCTGTGGGATAGTAATATTTACTTTTGTTCCTCCGTTTTTGTTTCTCCACCTGCACAGTGAAATATTTGCCACACTGTGATTTAGTGAGGAGAAATTAATAGTGGTAACATTTTACACCCTTCAAACTCTTTTATAACAGAGTTACAAAAGTATGGAGTTATAACAGTATGAAGTATAGGTGCTTCTGTATTAATATTAAAATAATTATTTTAAAGAAAGAAAATCAACATAAACCAGTATATACTAATCTGAGGCATTGTTTAGGCTGTGTTTGAGATTCTGATGCAGTCCATATCATTTGAGATTTCCATTTGATTTTAAATGCATGCTGTACTTGTCAAACTGGCAGGTTTAGTGATTCTAGAGCTGGGAAACATGAACAAATGCTTTTCTAAGAAGTTGTAGTTATGAACTGTTAACTTGAAATTCCCAGTATAATTTAAATACCGTTGAACGAGCTCTCTGCTGACTTCAGCAGGACTCTGCTCGTTGGCATTAATGGAGAGTGGCATCCTGTATACTGGCATGAAAAGCATCTTAGGGTGAGGAATGTGTCTTGGAACTTTTACTGTGCTGTGTATCATAGGGAATTACTTTGGTTTTATTTCTCCTGAGTCCCACTGTCATTCACAGTACTGTGGCATCCTGCAGATTTTGTCCTCTTTGGGGAAAGTTGATAGCCTTTTGCTACACTTAGGCACACCCTGCTGGTCATGGCACGAGGCTGCCTTAGGGCTGGTTATGAAGATATTTTCTCCAGATACTCTGAATACAAAGTCTGTTAAATTGGGATTAGAAGCATTGGCTCCTCTCCCCACTGTTTTTAACGAAGAGGTGGGATTTTGGTGACATGAAACCACAGGTACAAAAGCCTACATGTCACTGCATGGTTACCATACTTGCTGACCTACTAACTGCAGTCCTTAGAAACAGGTGCTTTAAGAAAGTATAGAATTGTGGTAAAATAAAACATCGCCCACGGTTGCTGTGTCTGATCATGGCAGAGTTTCATGTGGGGGCTGCCATAGCTTTCTCTTGCTGTCACAGGTGAGACAAAGTAAGTAGGGGATTTGTATAGGAGGATTGTAGGGGATTTGAATACTGGTGTTTAACCACAGTTTTACTGAGATCAGAGCTTTTACCTCACTTGGTTATTTCAGGCAGTGATGCGCTTTGCTCTCCCTCCAAAGTCACATTGACTGGGTCTCAGCTTCCCACAGAGGAGATAGCTGCTGGTCCAAGAACATGGGGCAGAAATTCATGACAGTATCGTGCTGTGCAGCCAGTTGTGGGCACCAGTCCCAGGTCCCAGGGTATCCCCAGGCACTTGTCTCTGTGGAGCTTCCCCAGGCTTGGTTTTCTCCATCTAAATAGACTATATGCAGGAGCACAATGCATGATCAGCCTCCGATTTGGTGGCTCTGCTTTGTGTCCTTTATTCAGTGGAGAATTCAGCACGTACCTTTTCTGTTCAGGCCAGGTGTTATCAAAATGTACAACCAACCCGTAGCTGGTTGTAGTGAGCAAGCAGGCTTGTGCTTGGGAGTTCAAAAGTTCAGTTTTCAACATTATAGACACAATTACCTGTCAGCATTCGGGTTGTCTTTCACCTACAATGCTTATCCACCACCGATGTTAAAAAATCAGCTCATTTTAAGATGTTACGACTCAGCTGCTCTCCTTACAAGCTAGTTCATTCAATTTAGCGTTCCTTTAGTGTTTAGTTTAAATAAAACTCCAAGTACAGTGCAGATTGCTGCAACCAGGGTAGAGCCAATGTTGGTTTTTATTATAGCTGAACAAAACTGTGTACAGGACCAGGGAGTCATGTAAATCATGACCCCAGTGTTATTTTTCTTCTTTTTTTTTTAAATAACTAATGGATCTTTAACCAGTGAGCATAACCACTCCTCTCTTTTTCTATTTGTTGTATTATTGACTGAAAGTATTTGTCAGAGGAGGTCATAGTCCAGTCCAAGGCAAGATTTGGGCAGGCATGGCTGGATGGGACACGGCAGATTCCGGGCTCCTGTAGAACTGTGTGGGAAGGTTTCAGAGAAAGGAGGGCAATAAAGTACATATTAAAAAAACATACAATAAAACATATACATAGATAACGTGATACATTAGAGCCAGCACCTGAAAACACACAAGTTTGACTAACAATCCACATATTGGTCAACTCTGCACCTGTAATCTGTGTGTGCAACACATCCAGGAGGCACCCAAGCTGTTGTGCATTCACGGTGCATCTTTCCTTTGCCTGTACCCTGTGGTTAAGTGTTGTGTTCATTGGGTTTGAAACATGGAGGAATAGGCATGGGATATTTTTTGGAAAGATTGCTGGATGTCTGGGTATCACAGATGAATAGATTTCACTGAGCAAAGGTCATGAAGGCTGAGGCTCCCCTCCTGCTACTGTCCCCCAAAATTCTCTGTACATATGCATTTCTGCTTTCAGAGTGAAGGTGTCCAACCCTAGTGCTCAAAAAGTGCTTGAATTGTGAGACTACGTTGCCCATAATTTAAACAGATTCAAAGAACTTGGCTAAGGAGACAAAATGCACGTGACCCTTTCCCCCCCCACCACCTTTAATGTCAGTGGTATTTGGTAGGGGGCAAACTGGGACAAGTAAACATGTGCTCTTTTCTTCCATTCACAGCCAATTGAACCCCACACAGAATTGAAAGTATGGTATGCTGCCGATTATGCCAAATTTATGGAAGCTTCTGCAGTCTTCATTAAAGAAGAATCTGACGTCTGTCCTTTGCCTCCAGTAGCAGTAAGTATCTCTAATTTGCATTCAAGCCATTGCCAGACATAGTCAATGACAATTTATGTGCTTTCTCTGTTTATGTAACTCTGGTAATGCAGAGTAGACCATAGGGCGGTAGGCTAACACAAAACCAAGAGAGATTTCAACCAAACAGATACTCAGAGAAAGGCTGCTCTCCCTCTCCTGTGTTTTTAATCCCACTGAGCCATTAGATAAAGCCAGAAGTAAGTGGCATCAGGGGGCTGTGTTGGAAAGACTTAAGATTGGCATTAATTTGTAGATAAGTCTGAGGCTGGACAGCTTGGTTCTTTCACCAGTTCCCCTTTGTTACGCTCTGACCGTTTTCTGTTGGTCAGATAATGATTATTTCATTATTATTTCTGATTATTTCAGTCTTTCCTGTGCAATAACCCTTCCCTTCTGATCCCACTACCTTCCCCTCTGTATGATAGTAGGGGTCTTCAGTGAGAAGAACATGACCTTTCCTTAGAACAGCTAGTAAGAAAGACCTGGTTTTGTTCTCATTGCAGAAAGAGCCCGTAGAGCCTTGGATATGCTCCAGCTGTAGAAGCACTTTCGCAACTTTTGCTCTGCTGGAATCTCACCAGTGCATCCACAAAGACCGAGTCCTCACCCCCAGGTTCAGACCACCAAATAAGTTGGGACCCGTCAAGGCAAAAAGCAAACTCAAAGGGAAACTGAGAGGAGCGACATTAGGCAAAAGCATTGCCCAGTGCTACGGGACCATTTCCTGTTCCTCCGCGGCGAAGCTCAGCTGTGGTGGCTCGGGAAGCACGTGTGATGGTCTTGTGAGGTTCATACCTAAATGGAGAAATGGCCGGTCTTCACTGTTGAAGGGGAAGGACGTGCAGCAGACAGAGAGCTACCCCTGCCGACTCTGCGGGAAGGTATTTGACTCCATCGACAAGCTCACGGTCCACGCTTACGCGCACAAAGGGGAGCGCCCCTACAAGTGCTCGCAGCACGGATGCACAAAAGCCTTCATTTCCAAATATAAACTGCTCAGGTACGGCTCCAAACACACTCCTTTTCTGGTGGGGGTGTGGGGAAAAAAACCAAGGACATCTTGTGCTCTTGTGGCCAGGAGGGCCAACGGAATCCTGGGCTGCATAGGGAAGAGTGTGGCCAGCAGGTCAAGGGAGGTAATTCTCCCCCTCTACTCTGCACTGGTGAGGCCACAACTGGAATCCTGCGTCCAGTTCTGGGCTCCCCAGTTCAAGAGGGACAGGGAACTACTGGAAAGAGTCCAGCGTAGGGCTACAAAGATGATTCAAGGACTGGAGCATCTCCCTTATGAGGAGAGGCTGAAAGAGCTGGGACTCTTTAGTCTGGAGAAGAGAAGGCTGAGGGGAGACCTTATCAATGCCTACAAGTATCTCAAGGGCGGGCTGAGGGAGGAGGGAACCAGACTCTTTTCAGTAGTTGCCAGTGAGAGGACAAGGGGCAATGGGCACAAGTTGGAACATAAAGGGTTCCACTTGAATATGAGGAAGAACTTTTTCACGGTGAGGGTGACAGAGCCCTGGAACAGGCTGCCCAGGGAGGGTGTGGAGTCCCCTTCTCTGGAGATTTTCAAGACCCGCCTGGATGCAGTCCTGAGTGGCATGATCTGACAAGCTCTGGGTGGTCCTGCTTTAGCAGGGGAGTTGGACTAGATGATCTCTATGGACCCTTCCAACTCTAAAAATTCAGTGAAATTCAGTGAAAATCTTTTCTCCTCTGTGTGTCCTAGTGACAGTTAATCCCCGAGTTCCAGTTTTCATTCTTCCTCTTTTGTTAGAATTGCAGAAAACTAATGTCCCTCAATTGGGGTGGCTACTCAAAAAGGTTATGGTGAGCAGTTTTAACCTACTGTATGCTTTTTTAACACCTTCCCCCTCCAAAAAAGTTAGTCTTTTACTAATAATCTAAGAATTTGTGAAAATGCCTTCCTTCAAAAGTGCCAGTGATTTCAGGTCTCGAAACTAGAGTGAATGTAAATACAAACAACTTTTTTTCCTTTTTTTTTTTGGTCTTAGGCACTCAGCCACTCATTCTCCGCAGAAATCTCACCAGTGTGGCTACTGTGAGAAGACCTTTCACAGGAAAGACCATCTAAAGAACCACCTTCAGACTCATGACCCTAACAAGATGGCCTTCAAGTGTGAAGAGTGTGGCAAGAAGTACAACACCAAGCTAGGCTATAAGAGACACTTGGCTCTTCACGCGGCCACCAGCGGGGACCTGACCTGTAGGGTGTGTGCCCAGGAGTTTGGTGGCACCGAAATGTTGTTGGAACACCTCAAAAGCCACGCCGGGAAACCCACTGGTAATACCAAGGAAAAGAAACATAAGTGTGACCACTGTGAGCGTCACTTCTACACCCGTAAAGACGTGCGGCGGCACATGGTGGTGCACACGGGCTGCAAAGACTTCCTGTGCCAGTTTTGTGCCCAGAGGTTTGGGCGGAAGGACCATTTGACTCGCCATACGAGGAAGACTCATCCGCAAGAACTGCTGAAGAGCAGGTTGCAGAACGGTGACTCAGTGGGTCTCCTTGACCAGCTTTTTCCATTCAGGCTGAAGGAAGATGCCGGCATACTGTCCCCTTTTCCTGAAAGGGTCTCTGGGCAGAACGGGGTTTTGAACAGTTCAGAGTCAGAGGAATACAACTGCTCACATCTTCATTCCCAGCCAAGCTTACAAACTGCTCTTCCCCTTGAACCTTCTCCTCATTTGCAAAGGATGGGCTGTGCAGACAGCCTTCCAGCTGCCCATCCCACGCCATGCTCAACGGCCATTCCTGCCAACCTGAACCTTCAGCAGCCGAATAAATATGACCTTAGTTCTACCTCATTTGCAGCAGGATCCCTCAAGAACCTACCCATAAAAGTGGATGTTAAAGGTTACAATGTGCATCTTCTTGAGGACCTGCCGTTACCAGAACCTCAATCTCTCCACAAAATCAGTCTGGAAGAAGTTTCCTCAGGGCCTGTAGGGGATACTAACAAGTACCCAGTGCACAAGGAGACAGAGGCAGCAGCTGAAACTACGAGCCTGCCTTTCATGGATCTCACTCATGTGATGAGTTTCTGGCAGCTCCCACAAGGTGACAACCAGAACACTACTGGGGACATGGCAATGGCCTTTGGTTCAGAGGAACCATCACACAGGCTGAATGGCCTTGGCCAACAGCAAGGTCTTCAGCTAGCAACTGGTGGGATGGCCATAAACCAGCTGCATCATCTTCCTCGCTCCTTTCCATCCACTACAAATTCTGTAACGTTGCCTCATTTTCACCATGCCTTCAAATAGCTATCACCATGTTTGGGTTTTTTCCTTTTATTTTTTTTAAGACTGTGCTTCTTACTTAAATCTGGTAGGATGGGGTGGTTTTTGGTTTGGTTTTATTTTGTTTTGTTTTTAAGAAAAACTGCCCCAAATGTTTTCAAAGCACATTATGAACATGGTAGTTAAATTCAGGATGTTAATAAACAAGAAGCTCTATTTTTCATACTACTATTAGTTTTTTAGCATATGGCAGTAGTAGAACTAACATATTTCCCTGCAACACCCTCTACATTTTTGTTTCTTGCCTTTCATGCAAAAAACTGAATAAATATCTTTTGTGATAGCAAAGCATCATAACAGGCACAATAAAACTATGGCTGCTGTGGTAGATTAGGGGTTAGGGTGAATGGGAAGAAGGGGGAAATCACAGAAAAATCATTATAAAGAGCCATAAATCACAGCAAATTTATACACATGGCAAATGTAACAAACGATTTATCAACGTCACAGAGATTTCTGTTAAGCACTTAATTACTGAACTTTATGAATCTTTAATTTAAATCAGAATCATTCCAATAATAAATCTTACCTCCTTGTTCCCCGTTGTTAAATGAAGAAGATCCCGTTACGGCTGCGCGCATCTCCTGCCGTCTTTCCTAGGGCTGGAAATAACTCCTTCTGCCTGTGTGAGAACCCATATCTTGTCTATGTGCAGTTTTCACAATGGGAAATGAATTGTCTCAGAGGTTAGAGCAAAACATCAATTTTTCACTTAGAGCTGGATCTGGCAAGGTGTCAGCACCGGTCTTTCTCTAGTAAAGCACTTAAGCATTTGCTTAAATTTAAGCATACGTTATCCCATTGGGTCAGCGACTTGATTGATTTAAAACTTAATAAAAACTTAATGCTTCCTGCTTAAGGGGCCTTTATTCACCTTTTGTTGATTAAAAAAAAAATGGCCTTTGTTTATTCTGGGAAATGATTATTAATCGTAGCCATCTGAACTGTGGATTCCTTCACTGAAAACCAACCCTGGCCAGGTCAGCTTGCAACCTAGTGGGACCTCAGGTCCACGAGCAGAAGGGTTGTGGTGGTGAGCTCATGCTTGGCCTTCTTCAAAACCAGGTGATGAACCTGCCTCATCAGTGTCACCTGCAATTAGTGGGTGTCATTGATGCCATTTCAGTCACGGGGGGATGTTTTTGCTCAGCAGTGGTGGGACAGCCACAGTTGGACTTCCAGCCTTTTCTTTGTTTCCTGGGGTAATTTGTCCATGTATTTTTCCAGTGGATGGTGTGTTGGTGTGACAGTTGTGTCACTTGATGCATGAACTAGCATCGCCCAATAGATGACATTATTAAAAAAATCCCAAAAAGCCAAATTCTTCACAATTTACTTTGTTACCTAACCCATGCTTATAAAAAATACCCCTGGTTTTAGTGGATCCTGTTGCAGCTAAACCAGACATGGACTTTCTGAATGTGAGTAAAAGCGTGTTCTCTTCGCCCCCATTAATCACAGGAATATTTCTGGACAGCTTCAAATAAAAAAGTATTTTTTAAATTATTGCTGGTTTGCTGTTAATGAACTACAACGACACGGTACAACTACGGTGATCTGAATATTCTTACAAGTTTATCAGAGCTTGGATTAAAGAAAGGTCATATTATTGCCGTTTATGCAAGAATACGTTCTTCAGATACGCTGTTGAGGGGTATTTTTTGGCATAAAGAATCAAGAGGAATTGTAATATTCTTTTAATGACAACAGCAGTAGGAAGAGCAGGTGCTGCGCAGTCGTGCCCAATTAGCAGTTATTTAAATTATTAGTTCCAGAATAGGGAAGAGGTTGCAAACAATGTTATATGCACATTCTATGGCAAAGCTTGTACTTTTATCCAGACTTGGAAAGGGGGGTGTATATTCACTGACTGCATTGGTTTTTTTGTTCATGCAAATTGTATTCACTTGCTTCATCCAAGCTTCTGTACTTGTAAAAATAATAACCACAACAAACAAAATCCAAACAACTCACAAATTTTGTAGCACTGCCTGATGATATACCCTTAGTAGACATTTTGTCTTTTCGGTTTGTGCTTCTATAAGGGGTGTAACAAATTACTAAAATACTTGGTTTTGAATTAAAATGTAATGTTAAGAAGAAAATGTTATGCAAACACTGAGCTAGACGGGTGAGAGACACTTACCATACTGAGTCTCATTCAAGTAAAAAAAGGAAAGAACCACTTTTGATATTTAAACTCTTAAAAATCATGCTATGGTGGTGTCTACAAGTAAATCATACATTTAAAATCTACAAGTAAAACACCCATTAAATGTGTAATGCTGCAGCTTTTACCCTTTGGTCCGTTCAAATCTCTTTTTCCAGATTCTTGACATCACAAATGCAGAGGGAGCTGATCACGCCCCATGGCAAAGGCAGGCAAATGATTTCAAAAGGTCACATTTGTGAAAAAATTGCTTTGTTTTAAAACTCAGGAGATACCCTGTGAGCCATCCCGTACTTAGCTTGGGGCTGGACTTCCTCAGCTCTGTGAGCATTTTTGAGAGACCATCAGAAGCTGAGGCTCGTGGGCAGAGAGGTGGCCTGGGGAAGGTAGGCTAGACCATGGCATAGCACCTCAGGGACACAGAAAAACAGAAACCTGGCCTCTGGGGAGATTTTAGGATGTTTTACCTCACATCATAGTAACAATAAAAATACTCTTTTAGCTGAACTGTGCTGGGAAAGCTGTAGAAGCAGAGTGATAAACGCCAACGAACTAACAGAATTGCTATAGTCAAATGATACCATAATAGAAAATAGAGATACTTAGTACATCTTTGCTCTCATACAAAAATTCTACCCATTTTATAAAGAAAAGGAAACCATATAAACCTGAAATAAGGAGCTGAAAATATACTAAAGTGAAACAAAACACTGCATCCTCTTTGTAAATAACAAACCAATTTCTAGTGCTCAGTTCCCATCCCCTATCAGAAACCACGTTCATTTCATTTTTCCTTTGTTTTTACTCACCAGCTTTTCCTGTTGGGACTCTGTTTTCCTAATCAGTGGGTCACTGTTAATTCCCAAGAGTTTTTCCACAGCCAGTCTGAAATAGGATGGTACATTCCATATATTAATGAGCGATTCATTTTCTGCTCAGCGCCGTTCCTGTCCCTGCAGTTACATTTTCTGCAGGACACTGGGAAATGATCTGTGGAATCGGTACCAAATTGCTCTACACACAGAAATGATGGGAGAGGGACTCCCCAAATATAGTAAAACTTTTTTATATATAAATCATATATATATTTTTTAAATATATACACAAAATTGCAAAACATTAATTTCTCTTGTTCAATATATCACAGCAAAGCACGGGGAAGAGGGATCACAATATTGGATCTTCCTACATTTTCTTGAAACCATTGAAGGAGCCACATCCATCTACTTTCAGGCACTCAGATAATTAAATTTTGGCAACTGATATACAAATAATCTCACAGCTTTAAAAAGGACAGCATAATAAGCTTTGTAGCCTACGGGGAAGAGAAGAAAAAAGGGGGAAAAAACTTCAGTTTGCCTGTTTTATTGAATGTGATGACTGTAGATGTTGGAGCGGAAAAGGTGCTGGAAAATCATGTTGCTTGAGTTCTTCTGTGCTTCAGAAGAAAACCTTAACACATCCCTGCCCAGCAGCCACTCTATCTTCTGTTGCTCATTTGTGGGCTGAAAGCAGCAACAAGCCATATACTTGTTATTTGCATAGAAACAGCTTTTGTAATTTACTCCATTTTACTTAATAAGATTAAGCCTAATCCCTGGGAAGGTGATGGAGCCACTCACCCTGGAAACCATTCCCAGGCACTTTAGGGATGAGAACATCCATTTGCAGCACTGAGACCCAGTTTTTCCTGTCTGCTTTCTCGGCTAAGAGGTAGTCTCGGGTAGTGCTGGAGCTCATCTCTCACTTGCCCAAAGTCCTCTGCAAGGAGGTTGGAAGGGACCTTTAAGATCATCTAGTCCAACCATCAACCTAACTCTGATAAAAACCATCACTAAGCTCTATGTCAACCTGTCTCTTAAATATCTCCAGGGATGGTGCCTCAACCACTGCCCTGGGCAGCCCATTCCAATACTTAATAAACCTTTCAGAGTAAAAATTTTTCCTAATCTCCAATCTGAACCCTCCCCTGGTGCAACTTGAGGCCATTTCATCTTGTCCCATTGCCTGTTCCTTGGGAGAAGAGACTGACCCCCCCTGGCTACACCCTCCTTTCAGGGAGTTGTAGAGAGTGTGAAGGTCTCCCCTCAGCCTCCTTTTCTCCAGGCTGAGAGTGCCCTGACATGCAGGATACTCTCCTGTAATTCGGATGCTCATGTGGACATATATCTCGGGGACCTGCTGGAGACACAGACTGTCCCAAGCTGCTGTAACCACAACCCCAGTGGTACCTGGACTCAGGGAAAGAGGTGTTTCCACCCTGAACCTGTCAAGCCCTGAGTTTCAGAGCTCAGTGACTAAACCTTGGGAAGGATGATGGTATCAATAAATCCCTGTTGGCAGTCTCCAAGACCATGCACGATAACTGTAGGAGTTACTACACTGTTAACATAGTCACAGGTAATCCAGGGAGTGGAGGACACCAGATGAGACCACTGGGTACCGTGAGCAGTTTCAAAATCAAGGAGGTAGATAGAGTTGGTGATGGCACATGGACCTGATACCATCTTGTCCATTGCAGACTTGCCCACCGTTGAAGGTGGTTAGCCATGTGCCAGCAGCAACCAAGGACAGCAGAACTCCTGCAAAGACTTCGAATGTTGCAGTGAGTCTCACAACAGACTGCTTTGTGCATGTTCCCCATCATGCCACACTCCAAACTCTCTTACAAGCTCATCTCCCAAGCTCAAAATATCTTGCCAGCTACAGGGAATCTGTCTTGGCCACATTTCCTGCCAGGATCTCATCTTCTGCAGTGGTACGTGTCTGGCAGGGGTGCCAGATGCTGACTGTCTGAGCCACCTCCTACAGCCCTACAACCACCTTAAGCAGAGGCTGGAAGGCCTTGCTGCTCTGACACAGCTCTGCATGGCCAGAGAAGGGAACAGCTCTGATTGCATGGTCTGAAGAGCAGAAGCACCAAACATCAAGGAGGAGAAGGACCTCCAATGCTGTCCTCCTAAGTCATTATTGAAATGGGTGCTGGCATAGAATCATATGGGGTTGGAAGGGACCTCTGGAGATCATCAAATCCAACCCCCCCACCGAAGTGGGATATTCCTCACTTGGAGAACAGAAGCACATCACGAGAGCACAAGACCTGCTAGAGAGGTCTGCAGTTATCAAGCAGCAAACCCTCTCAAGATGCCTGTTACAGCAGACAGCAGTCACTGCCTACTCAAGATGGAGCTGCTCCAAATCAAAGGGCATTTAACACCAAAATGAATCTTCTCAACATTCTATACTAGGGACATGAGGAGCTCTGCAAAAATTTGCATTGCAATTTAATAAATACAAAGGAATCAATACTGAGAACACTGCAACAGGATATTGTATATACACAAAAGCAAATGAGGTCCTTTTATGTTACTCTGTTGAAATAAAAATGAAAAAAAAATATTTCTTACCCAAACTCTCCTGAAGAATTTTTCCCAGGAGATACATCCAAAGGTTTTCTGGCTTTCTGCAGCATTCCTGGAGGGTTCTCTGCAGATCATTAATTAAAAAAAGAAATATTGGCCATAAAAAAATTATAACCTACATCAATTCAACATAAACCCCAGAAATATAGGGACCAAAGGGACTGATATGAAGAGTATCTTCATATAAACCCCTATAAATACTTCATATAAAATTATAACCTACATCAATTCAACATAAAACTCAGAAATGTAGGGATCAAAGGGACTGATATGAAGAGCATTATGTATTATCAGTCATGGGTTGTACTACAAATAACCATCAAAATAACTTTATAAAACATCTGCTAAACATAGACTGAGTACGGCTCACAATTACCAGTAGCAATGGGTGCAAGCAAACATATTGCATGGCATCCTGCTTAGAGGGAACTGTTTTAGGGATGTGGTGGTGTTAATTTTAAGGCTGAATCAACAGGGGGAGTCATATGGAATGAACAAAATACAAAGCTTGATGCTTCATCTCAATGGACTAAATTTCCCTTCCAACCCCATATCATTCTGTGACTTAAGAACAGATAAAGAGGATGGAATAAATTTTAACATCAAAGATTAAAGGTTATGGAGTCCTTTATGGGACAGAAAGAACCTCACACCCAGACTGTGTATTTCAGATCTATAAAGACACTTCTATTTGAAGGCCTATTTGAAAAGGCTGAGAAGCCCCTCCTAAGAACCCACATGAAAACCTCTGTGCATCCAACTCAGCACAAGAGATCAGGATAACGACTTGGAAAGCCATTCAGTACCAACAACATCCACTTGGAAATTTTTAACCCTTCTCATTTCTAACAAGCGGTGTGTGGAAATGAGTTTAGGATTTCATGTCAAGGCCTGGGACTTGCAAAAAAAAAAAAAAAGGAAAAAAAATTCCGAACTTCATTATTCTTTCAGAAAACTGGATACCAAAGCTTTCAAAATGCCGCCCTGCACTCCAAATACATCAGAGTTTGTTACAAGAAAGACATAAACACAGAGTTAAGCGAACTCCTTACTTGGCACAGGTTTGTCTGTATTGGCACCTTCTTGTACTCTCTTCTGAAGCGCTAACACCGCACTTGTTAAGGGTGGGGGCTTCTTCTGAGTCGCTGGCTGCTTGCCCTGGTAAAAGAAGATGCACAATCCACATTCAATTCCAGCAAGGAGCTTACGGAACCTGGTGACAACTCTCCAAATCACTGCTGAAGCAGTGCTAGGAAGGGATGGGAAAAAGGTGGACCCCCTCCCACTTGGAAGCCATTTTTCCTGCCCAAAATAGATAAAAGTGTAGTAAGATTTCCAAGTACCTTTTAAAAAAGGAGGAGGAGAAGGAGGAGGAGAAGGAGGAGGAGAAGGAGGAGGAGAAGGAGGAGGAGAAGGAGGAGGAGAAGGAGGAGGAGAAGGAGGAGGAGGGTACTCTCCTAAAGGAACTGTTTCCATTCTTATTGTTTTTTCTATAATAAAGTAGGAGGTCACTTCAAGACACCGCCAATTACCTCCACTTTTCTGATTCCCCAAAGGGGATTGGCCAGGGAATAACTCAGCCATACATTTGCAGGGAACAGCAAACCTGCAAACGGCAGGGAGCCCTGATGAACAGGAAGAGATCTCTCCACACATGGCAGAAGCTGCCAGGTTTCTGCTTCCCTGCAGCTGTTACCCTGGAATCCAGTCGCAGAAGAGACTGAAGAAATTGTTGTCCAACTTTTTTGTATGATCATATTCTGTCTCTTTTTATATCATAGAATCATAGGATGGTTAGAGTTGGAAAGGACCTCAAAGATCATCCAGTTCCAACCCTCCTGCCATGGGCAGGGACACCTCCCACCAGACCAGGTTGCTCAAAGCCTGGCCTTGAACCCCTTCAGGGATGGGGCAGCCACAGCTTCTCTTGGCAAAGGGCCCCAATTTTGGGGAACTCCTGGTTGATGTTCAGCACATACCTCATCTTAAGTATTCACCAACTTCCCTGAAGCCTTAAGTTTTATATTGCTACTCAGCATAAACTACAGTTTGGCAAATCTGCTTCCAGGACCAGACAAAGTGTGACTGTGTGTGCTTACCAAAGGCCGTTGGGTGATCTTGGCAGCAAAGGCACGGTGGAGAGCCTGTTCTTCACAAAACTTCATGTGCCTCTCTGCTGCAGCCTCATTAAATCTTCGTAAGCAGTGTGGACACTGAATATAGTCTGATCATGAGAAAGGAACAACTCGTGTCACAGTTTATACTCTACAGGAGAAGAATTGTCCTGCTTTCTTGGAGCACTCAAGATATAGTTCAAAGCCTGGCTCCATCAGCAGGTGACCATGGTGAGTTCTCATAAGCTCCTGGAGCACAAACTTTGGAGAACTTCAAAAACCTCCTCCAGAAAAGCACTTGAGATTCCAAAATACATGCTTATGGTATTAACCATAAAAATAAATGCTTTAAAAAATAAATCCCTGGGGATTGTTCTTCACAAAACTTCATGTGCCTCTCTGCTGCAGCCTCATTAAATCTTCGTAAGCAGTGTGGACACTGAATATAGTCTAATCATGAGAAAGGAACAACTCGTGTCACAGTTTATACTCTACAGGAGAAGAATTGTCCTGCTTTCTTGGAGCACTCAAGATATAGTTCAAAGCCTGGCTCCATCAGCAGGTGACCATGGTGAGTTCTCATAAGCTCCTGGAGCACAAACTTTGGAGAACTTCAAAAACCTCCTCCAGAAAAGCACTTGAGATTCCAAAATACATGCTTATGGTATTAACCATAAAAATAAATGCTTTAAAAAATAAATCCCTGGGGATTAATAAAAGCAGGTTTTATTATCTTTGTCCTGTTCCCACCCCCAGCCTCACAATTAACGTATCTGCAGAAAAAGTGATATTTAGAAATTCCTTGAGTAGTCTAAATTAATGATTTTAAGACTACTTTTCAAGACTGGTCATTAAGTTTGTTTGTTGTTTTCACAAAATCTGTTTCCTTTGGACATGGACAGAACACTGCTTAAGAAGTTGTGCCCCAGCAGGTGAAGCACAGAGCCAGGTTTCTGATGTGAAGAACACACCGTGGTGCTTCCTAGAGTTGTTTTTCACAGGGTTATAGTCCTGACTCTGCTAAAAGCTCTTTGTTTACATTTATCACTGACCAGTCCTACTTGTTTCAACGAATGGTTGGTGTTTGGGGTCAATGCAGTCTCACTCAGGCAGCAGGTGAGGCACATCCAAGAGCCAGGTTTCTGAGTGAGAAGAACACACCGTGGTGCTTCCTAGAGTTGTTTTTCACAGGGTTATAGTCCTGATTCTGCTAAAAGCTCTTTGTTTACAATTATCACTGATCAGTCCCACTTGTTTCAACGAATGGTTGGTGTTTGGGGTCAATGCAGTCTCACTCAGCCCTCGCACTGCCCTTGCTGTCCCCAGACCTTCCTCCCCACCCAGAACCTTTTACAAAAGCAGCCTGAGTGTCCTTATCCTAATATTACAGATACAGCACCTTTACAAACCATTTTACCCTGTAACAGCCCAGAAAAGGTGGCTGCAAAAGCCAGCCCCAGGCCTGCAGCGTGGGCAAAATGGTTCTGAAGACAGGAAGGGGG